AGGAACTTGTTTTGAGTATGTCATCTAAAGTCAGGGCTCTGTCCCTTTTTTATGTATTCCACAAACATGGACTGAGTACTAATGTGTGATCATCTCCATGGTAGTGGTTAGTAACACAAATATAAGACATGGCACAATTAGAAATAAGACAATGCCATATGTGCTAATGAACTTTAAGTGCAGAATATAGATGAAGCATGAAGGGAGATGGTTTGATTCGTTCTGATTGATAATTTCAGGGAAGCCTTCAGAGAACAGACAACTTAGATGCAGATGAAAAACAAATGTACTGGACCCAGATGATCAAGGTATAAATATCCTCAGACTGAACAGTATCCGTTCAGGAGCACATTATTTCTTTCACATTCTGTAACATATTAATCCATATTAATCACTGCTCTTGCCTCAGTCTCCTGATACGGATGTGAGCCACCACCCTCAGCTAGGAAGCTCATAGACTTTAGATATCAAAAGAAGAGGATTAGATGTCATGCCTATAACTAAATTTAAATGTAGTCTGTATTTTAATCTAATATTTCACCTGATGGTAGATAAACTTAATTTGGACAATTCTAGGTAAAATTAGTAAATCTGAGTTTGTTTTTAGTCTCTTTAGTGTTATTTAAGCAAATTGATATTTCCTCCTCTTTCCTTCTTATAATTGTATCTTAATATTGAGGGACTGTCAGAGGAAGGGAGAGGTGGATACACATGGCATTAGGATATCAAGAGATGGTAATAATGAACATATGTCGGCATCCACTGAAAAGTATCCTAACTGACCTTTGGCCATTACCATCCCTTCATATAGCATTTGCTGGTGTCCATCTTTACATCTGCCTGCAGCGGGGTTGTCCACTCTGCATCTGGGGAACCACTTTAGAGCCTATGGCTCTCTATGCCCAGTTAACTTCTTCATCTCTTTTAGAGACCTAGGGAAGGTGTGGGCCTTCCCTGGGGTCATGGGAAATTAGTAGTGTTGCTTCAGTCACTTCAGGCATGTGAAGTCTCAGGCAATCATCTTTACTGTGCCTATAATATGGTGGCATCTGAAACTCCTGTTATGGCTTCTGGGGGCCCTACATGTATCATCCTTATTGCTATTTTTAAGAGGGATTTAATATATCTCTTCTATTATTGGGTGTAGCATCTTGTGAGTCTCCTGCCACCTTCCTTCTTAATGCTAAGTTGGGGCAGGCTCAGGACTCTGTCTTAGAGAATTCTCACCCCACCACTGTATTAGTCTGTTTTCACACTGCTACTTGAGGTTGGGTAATTTATAAACAAAAGAGGTCTAATTGACTCCCAATTCCACATGGCCAGAGAGGCCTCAGCAACCATGATTATGGCATAAAGCCAAGGGGAAGCAAGGCATATCTTACATGGTGCCAGGAGAGAAAGAGAGAAACCAAGGGAAACTGCCACTTATAAAACCATCAGATCTCATGAGAACTTACTCGCTATCACGAGAAGAGCAAGGAGAAATTGCCCCCATGATCAAATCATCTCCCACCAGGTTCCTCTCTTGACACATGGGGATTACAATTTGCAATGCGATTTGAGTGGGAACACAGCCAAACCATATCAACCACCTTAGATGCTAACTTGCAGCAGGTTTAAGACTTCGCCTTAGAGACTTCCAGCAGTGCCATCTCCTTGTCTTCCACTCACAACCCAGAAAGATTCCCATTGTTAAAAACTTCTTAGGTAAAAAAACAAATAGCTCAACAACCATCCTCGCATATTTTTCTGTGTTTATAATTTGATCCTTAGTTTAGTTGTTTTTTAAATTAAACTAGGAATATAACACCCTTTCTGGATCTTTTCTCTTGAGGGATCTGGAGGTATGGGTTTCAAAAGCTTAAATGGCCAGAGAATTCCTTCCTGCTCTTTCCCTCTGAGTACAGCTACAAACCTGGAAACTATGCAAGAGGTGACTGAAAGAGAACTCTGAAAGGCACATAGAGGAAGGCAAACTTGTTAGGGAACCCAGGATTGGAGGGACAACATAGCCACAGGGCAACTCCCACCCAACAAAATGAGACAACTCAGGTCTGGTGTTTCCAGCCCTCAACCTAGCAACAGAAGATGGTCTAGCTGGCTCATTCCTCACCCAGTCTGACTGCATGCTGCAGACAACACCAGTAGAACAGGCAGTGCCTTCAAGGGTAAATCCATTGGAAGCTCTGTTGAAAATAATTGTCCAGGGGAAGTTCTCTTCTTCCCTGCTGGGCCTAAGACCCTTCTGTCACCCAAAGACACCCAGCAGCCTAGTGGCACTGGTCAGGGAGTTTTTCCACAATAAGCAGACAGGAAAGCAGACTTATCTTTTAGTTTCTTCATCCCAGGGCCAAGACTCCCTCCCCCACTGAGAGAGATGGGGAAGCCATAGGGCACTAGCCATAGAGACTCTGCCACAATAAAGGTTGGCCTCTGGGATACTCATTCCTGTGGCCTAGAGATTCTCTTCCCCAAATCTGGGGCAACACGAGAATCTCCTCCTCATTGGACAGTACCAGAAGGGACCAGTGGAAGCCCAAACCACAATCGCACTGCAAAGACACTGAAAATTACATTGCCATTGAAGCCACAGCCCCAAAGTGTAGGCCAAGACCTGTGAGCTCAATTTAAATAGTACGACTGCTGATAAAACAAAAGACCTAAAGAGAACCCAGAATCTCCTAACATGATAGAAAAAATATTCAATGTACAATAGGAAGTCACCTGTTACACCAAAAGCCTAAATGTGGAGAGTTAGGGATACAGGAAGCATATGTGTGAATAAACATTGGTTCACAACTGATAGTATCATTTAACCAAATGAAAATTTTTTCTTGGTATATTTTAGTTAAATCTGGCATACTTAAGTAAGTTAAAAAGTTGAATCTGTCTTAATTAGGTCTACATTTTTCTGAATAAACCATAAGTGAAAAGAAGCCAATGACAGATAGATACCTCCTAAAATGTCACTTCAAATTTGTCCCATTTCCCATACTCCAACTTCTGATGCTACAACCTTGGAACAGAAGGGACAGGGAGAAGTAGGCCATGCTATAATTGATGACAGTGATAGACTAGGGTGAGGGAATGCCGTAAATGCTCTGAGGCCTGAACTCTGGCACATGGGTTTGTCCAGTGGCATCTTGTCTATTCTGATGTGCAACCCCAACCACATTCATTCCAAGGGAAGATGTCTGAAGGCAGAGGTACAATTCTGCCCTAGCATCCAGGTACTGAGCAATCAGACAGTTGCTGCCTTCTCTCTTCTCACCTCTCCCCTCCCCACTCTTCTCCTCTCTCCTCACTAGTGTCTACTTCGGTTGAACACTATGGCTTATTAGAGACTGCAGAGGCACATGAATTGAAAGGCTCACTGATGATAATTTTCATTAGACAAAATATTAAGAATAACTTTGTTAGGTAAAAAATTAGAAAAAATATTTAAGGGCTTTGATGTATATATATGTTTGTGGTTTTAGGTTGCTCTATTTTCTAAATTTAGGTATCTGCATTTTATACTGTTGTGTTGCTGTTGTTGATTAGGCAAGCTAGAAGTTATTTTAATTTTTTCCCCAAACGAGGTCTTGATCTATGGTTTCGTTTTTATTCAAACATTTTAATGACTACTGTTATCTTTTAAAGAACTATATTCTGCTTTTTAAAACAATTTGATTTGTTTTTCTTTTTTACATTTTTAGTTTAGATATTTTATGTTCATGTTTTCTTTTTTAACACTGAAAACATTTAGGACTTCAGGAATACTGAATTTTTGCTTTGTAGTATTCTAATTTTTATTATTCCTCTGATTTCAATTTTATTTTTTCATTAATTCTCATTATTTAAAAATTGATTTAAAAAGCTATTACTATTTTTATTTAATTATGATCACAAAGTGTGGTCTATTTAATTTATATTATTTATTAAAATTTTAGTAGAGAATATATACCAATTATTCTAAATTTTCTGTGGAAGTTTGGCAATAAGATATAAGGTATCTAGTGAAGTATATTCTCTTTTCAAGGGTAGCGTGTTCACTATTCTTCCTCTGAGTCAACTTCATCATATTATTTTTCTCTATGCTCTTAGGTCACTCTTAGGCCTTTAACTTCCCTGGTTTTGGGGGACTGTCACTTAAAAAACAGTCTATGATAGTTTGAATACCCTCCACTTGATGAGCAGAGATTTGCATCTTTTGAGGGGTTATTTTCAGACATTGATGATGGGAGGGAAAGAATGAAGGTATGTCTCCAGGTTTAGATATACCACAGTCCAACCTGTTGTTGCTTGGTCACCTTAGCCAATCCCCTTGTTTCTGACAACTGTTACACTTTTTATAGATCATCATTTCTCACTAGTAGTTGCTAGTTTACACAGTCCCTCTTCCAAAGCACAGCTAAAACCAAATTGTAACATATAACAAAACAGACTCGTGGTTGTGTTAATTTTTCTAGGGCTACTGTAACAAATTACTGCAAACTTGTTGACTTAAAACCACAGAAATATATTCTCCATAGTTCTGGAGGCCAAAAGTACGAAATCAAGGTGCCAGCAGGGTCACACTCTCTCCAAAGGATCTAGGGGAGGGAGAACTTTTTCTTGCCTCTACCAGCATTTGGCATTCCTTTGCTTGTAGATGCACTGCTCCAATCTCTGCCTCCAGAGATTTCCTCTGCCTTTTCTTCTCTGTGTATCCCTTTTTGTCTCAAATAAGAATACTCCAGTTAGATATACGGCCCACCCGAATGTAGTATGTGCTCATCCAGATCCTCACTTTGATCACACCTGGAAAGACCCTATTTCCAAACAAGGTTATGTTTTGAGATTCTGGGTAGACATCAAGTTTTGGAAGACACTATTCAACCCACCATAATTGGTATGAGCGGAAGAAAATTATGATGGATAGAAGAAAGGGGGGAAAAAACTAAACAGCATCCAGAGTCCAAATGCATATTGTTATGTATGATGCTAATAAAATATTTTTCTCTCTAAAATATCTACAGGCTCAATTAAGATGTGGATTTGACTTCTTAAATATTGTCAACAACAGTAAAAGAAACAAAAGAGGGGGAATAGAACATAAGTGGAATTACTAGGCATCACATCTATACATACGTTCATAGTAAGTATGTATTCCATTTTAGATAATTTGTATTTAGATATTTATTTTGTTTCGTCTCATGCTTGTGTGCTCCTCTAGGGAAAAGACGATGCCTCATTCATCTTCGCCCATTAAAAATTTTTGTATTCTCAAGTGCTCAAAAGCTATGTCTTTGAAATTTTTATTAACAAATGTAGTACAGCAATAGTGCTAACAAGTGCAATACTAGAACAAGTGCAATATAGCCTCAAATCTGTGCTAAAATAGAAAAGATGGTAATCTGAATGTTTTTAACAGTAAGTAGAGGAATTTTATCTCAAATCAAACGAATCATAAGTGCTTTTACTATTATTTTTAAATTTCCATAATGAAAAGCAGAGAGATATAAAAAGTTTTGCAACTGACTGGTAGAAAGACTTAATTATTTCATCAAGGGTTTGTGTTCTTTCTTCTCTCCACTCTGTAATCTATACAGCATCTGCATTTTAAGACTGATTCCCCATGTGGTTGTCAGATAATTGCCAGAAGCAGTTGATAAAGACCTCTTAGAACCCCTCTCAGCCTTCCCTTTTAACAAGTAAAGGAACTAGTCCCCAAAGAAATTAACTATTTAGTTCAGAGACACATTAATTCATTAATTTAAAAATATTTATAAATGCTAATATGTGTAATGTATCGTTCTTAGTACTGGGGATGGTATGTTGAAATTAAATAGACAAAACTTCTTACCCTTGTAGGGATTACATTTTAGTAGATGCAACCAGTGCTGTTCATTAATCCAATTTGTGTTGTGTAAAAATGGTTTATCATGGCATTTTAATAATCTGGTATAAAATAAGTTCTTTATAAATTGCACAAAAATTATAAGAAAATATTTTAACTGATATCAATATTATTGGGCCTGTTTGAACCAGTTTTAAGTTGCAAAACTTTATATCAACTCACCTAAAATTACAGTTATTACTTTAGCCATATTTAAATTAATGCCTTAATATTTCACACCAGTTGATACAATAAATTTATGAGCCATTATAGCCCAGTGGCAACTTTTCTTTAGAGTAATAATGACACAAGCTCTTCAAGTAACCATTCTACCCGGGATGATTAATTTGACAGTAAAAATAAGCTTAGTTGCCAATGCATCATCCCTGTCTACCTAAGTCCTCCCCCAAACCAAACCAAACCAAACCAAACCAATACAGAAACAACAAACATGTTTTCAGTGCACACATATGATAAAGGTGTAATAAGCCTCTTTGTTGTTTGTTTCATTTGATTTCATAGCAACATCTACTCATCTCCACACATGTATAATTATCTGTTGGCACCTCATTTTTCTCTCCGATGAAGAAAGTAGTATAAAGAAGTATTACTAAACTAAGGCTGATTTAATTGTTTATGTTGCTGAAAAGATGGTGTGATAAAATACAGTAAGAATTGACTTTGGAGTTAGATTGACTAATTGACTTTGGAATTGACTGTTTTCAAATTGTGACTCCAGTATTTTCTATTTCTTTGATTTTTGGGAAAGGTACTGAAGCTTTCAGAACTTCAATTTCTTGATTTAAAAGTAGAAATTGGTGGGAAATATGATTAGATGCAATTAATACATAGGAAAATAAAACAGCTGAAAGCTTGGGACATTGGAGACATTCAATAAATTTTTATGGGTTTTTAAAATAATCTTTATTTTTAAAAAGTTAATATGTGCAACATAGGAAACTGAAAAACACAAAGCAAAGAACAAAGTCATTCACAATCACAAGCAGTTTATAGTTTGACACGTTCTTCTAGGTCCTGTGGGTGTGTAGGCACAACATCCAATTTTATGGGACTGAGATCGTACAGTATGTATCCTGCTTTTTCACACATCATGAATATTTACCAATTCAAAATCCCAAAGCTATATGAGTATTTTGATAACTAAGAATACACTACACCAACTCAATCTGTTAAAAAAAATGTAATCCTGCCTTTCTTGGGACAAAAATTTCATAGAAGACAAAAATGGCAACACGCCTCTAGATAAAAGCATTGGCAGAGTTCCGTTTTAAATACTGCATTCCCTTAATGCTCAACTTAAAATGAAACATAGAGCAACAGAATACACCAAGTATAATGTTTCTAAGATAATTCATTAGCAGATCTATACCACTGAAATATTAGTAAGGTATGTTTTCCATTGAATTACTTAATGTATTCCTATAGTACAGCCAAAAGAGATGCACATACATCAATGGCTATCATCAAAATACAAATATGAACACATCTGCATACATCTCTCCCTATATACTTCCTTCTGCCCCTCAGCTGCAAACCTAATGAACAAGTCCTGACATATACTGCTTAGAAGTGGTTTAATAATTCCATGTCCAAGATGCATCTTTTCTATCAATTATAACAAAGGTATTTACAAATTGGCTAATTCACTAGCTGTAGTTTTTATCATACATTGTCACTCCAGACATCCATAAAGTGTAGATGTTGCAAAATAATGAACTTTGTCCACAATAAACACTTTACTAAAAATGCTCATATAGACTTGTGGTTATCATCTAAAACCATCTTCTAGATATGGAGATACTAGCACAGAGCCCTTACCTTCACCCTTCCTCTTCTCCCTCTTCCACCATCCCCAGTGGCTAAGTATAGGATGTCTAGCTCCAGAAGGTGGACTAACAAATGTCACTCCCAGAAGACGGACCTTCTTAAAAACTAACAAAAGGACGTTTATAAAGGGATTGTTTTACTACATCTATTTTTAACATACTTTGAGCATTAGGACTTGTTTATCCTTTAATACACAATATTAATTAAACTACACATATGGAACAATGGTCAGACCACCTGAACTAATCTAACTCATGGGCACAGAACCCTTCTCCCTGCATAACTCCTCCTCCCCAACCCATCGCCGCCCAATGAATAGTCAGCATATGCTCCTAAACATCAAGTTTAACAATTCCATTCCCAAATGCAACCACTCCTAGGAGGTAATGAAAACAAATGCTGAGAGGGGTGTTACTTTTAGCCCCTTACTTTTAACCAGTGTTGTGCACTTTTAAACACCTAAAAAGACTAGATGTTTCAAATTGGACTATAGTTTTCCATTATATACACAGTAGCATTGAATAAATGGTATATATACATAACACAGACTCTAATTTGCATATCTTCTAAATAGGAACATTCTGGCCCAGAACCCTTCCCTTTCCAACCTCTACCAATCCCGTAGACAGCTATAAGCCATCTGTAATGCTTAGGGGGGATTTCAACAATTTCACTTCTGTGTTTCTAAGACGTCTTCCCTATGAATTTTAACACAAAGTGTACTCAATGTATTAGTTTACTAACTCTACTTTTGTCATACACTGGCAACCCTTTAACATCCACTAGATGTAAGTTAGGACTCCTTTGTCCGCTTATATACACTATATACACAGCACAGTAAATGAAAATGCAGACATAAGGGACAATGGTCAATGGGCATCATCATAAACACACTGGTAGAAAGCCCTTTGCACTTTGTGCTCCTCCTTCCCCATGAACCAGCACAAATATAGTAATGTGTACTGCTCAGAGAACTAATCAATTTCCAAAAGACAATATTTCATATAAAAAGGATAGCTACAAAATGTGTTATTTACTACCTCTACTTTTAACATACTTTGTGTACTTCTAAACATCTAGAAAGACTATGTTTCCACCTCTACTATATTTACTACCTCTGCTTTTAACATACTTTGGGCACTTCTAAACATCTAGACTTATGTATCAAATAAGAACTTAAGTTTGTCCACTATGTACACAGTAGTGTTGAACAAACTACACACCTGTAACAGTGGTTACACCTGAAAGTGTCTTCTAAATAGGAACATTCTGGTCTAGAATCCTTCATTCCTTCTAACTCATCTCCACCACCAACCTGGTGGATATAGGCACATGTGTCACTTAGAGCTGATGTTATCATTTTACTTCCAAAAGCCCTTTTCAGAAGACAGCCTTTCTATGAATTTTAACGAAGTGTACAAAATGTGTTAGTTTACTAACGCTACTTCTATCATACATTGGCAACCTCTTCAATATCTAGAGACTAGATATTATAAAATCAGGACTCATTTGTCCAGTATATACACAATATATACAGTATAGCAAAGTTAAATGAAATGCATGTAACATATGGGCAATAGATTAAGCTGAAATTTTCTAATAAACAATCGCAAAACACCTTTTGCAATTTCTTCCCTCTCATCTCCCAGGTAGTTCAACAATTCCACTTCCAAACAGCATTTCCAATCAGTTTTAAAAGCTGTTTACAAAAAGTGTTATTCTACTACTGCTTTTAAATACATCAAGCACTTCTAAATATCTAGAAAAACTAGATATTTCATATAACTTGTTCACCATGTACACAGCACTGTTAAATAAAATTGCACACATGTAACAATGGTTAGCATCTGAGGTATCTTCTAAATGTGAACATTTTGGCCTTGAATCATTCCCTCCTCACTTCCTTCTCTCTCTGAATTTAATACAGTGGACAAGTGCAGGCACTTGTAATGCTTAGAGACGGCTGAACAAATTTCTATGCAGAAGTCGTTCACAGAAGACAAGCTTTCCTATGAATTTCAACACAAAAAAACAAAATATGCCAATTTTACTAAATACTTTGGCATACACTGGCAACCTCTTTAACATCTAGAGACTAGACTAGATGCTGCAAAATTAGGACTCACTTGTCCTTTATATACACTATATACAGAGGAAAACAAAATGCCAAAACATACAGAAAAATGGTGTCTGAAAACGTCCAAGTATGAACATACTAGCATATTACGTTTTGCAATTTCTTCCCTCCTACCTCCTCTAAACCATTGGACAAGTATAGACAGCACTATACTTCTCACAAAGGTGGCTTCACGATTCAATTTTCAAAAGACAGTATTTCCTATTAATTTTAGCAAAAAGATACTTACAAAATGGTATTTTACTACTTCTACATTTAACATACATCG